GTGTGGAATCAAGGACAACACTATAAGAAAAAAACTCTTACAAGAATCTGGACTGTCACTTCAAAAATGTGTGGACATCTGTAGGGCAGCAGAAAAAACCGCCGCACAAGTTAAGACTATGAATCCTTAGGAGGAAATACACACATTGAAAAAATCAACCAAACACAGAAACGGTGTGAAGCATAAGGATCATAAAGGAGGAGGAATACACCCTAAACCACAAAATACAAAGATTCGTACATGTTGTTACTGCGGTCAGCAGCATTCCAGAGATAAGCAATCATGTCCAGCATGGGGCAAAACCTGTGGAAAGTGTGGAAAGAAAAACCATTTTAAGGCAGTGTGCCGACAGCGAGATAAGAGAGTGAACTTCCTGGATAAGTATGAGCAATGTTATTCCGATGAGGAAATCCTTACAGTAGAACAGATCTTTGCTACCAGCGCTTTGGAAACCCGAGAAAACTGTTTGCTCAAATGAACATTAATTTTCAGCCGAAACCTGTAAAATTCCAAATTGACTGTGGGGCCACCTGTAATGTGATTACAGATGACCTTGTACCGACAAACGTGAAGATACAGAAGGGTCATCACACATTGAAAGTTTACAATGGACAGCAAATGAAGACTTCCGGCAGTTGTACTTTGACCCTCACTAATCCAAGAAACGGGGAAACATTCAAAGAGAACTTTGTCATTGTGAACAGTGGTTTACACCCTATTTTGGGCTCAAGCACAAGTCAGCGAATGAACTTGATCTTAGTCCAACATGACAATATTATGACTATTGAGTTCCCCAACACAAACAATCACCTTGATATGGACACCATAACGAAGAATTATGGAGACATCTTTACAGGAAATGGATGCTTTAAAGGACCTGTGCATCTAGAAATAGACGAGACTGTCCCACCCGTGAAACTTCCTTTACGCCGTGTCCCAGTTGCAATTAAGCCACTTTTGCAACAAGAGCTGAAAAGACTAGAAGGATTACAGGTCATTCAAGCCGTCAACAAACCTACAGACTGGGTATCTAGCCTACTAGCATTCAAGAAGGCGAATGGAAAATTACGCATCTGCATTGACCCGAAACCTTTGAACAAGGCGCTCCGTCGGAGTCATTACCCTCTTCCTGTGATTGAAGACGTTTTACCTGATCTAGCCAAGGCTCGCGTTTTCACGGTGTGCGATGTAAAGAATGGCTTCTGGCATGTGGAGCTTGATGAGCAGTCCAGCTACCTTACAACTTTTGAGACTCCGTTTGGACGCTATCGCTGGCGCCGCTTACCCTTTGGCATCTCTCCAGCGCCTGAGATTTTCCAGCATCGTTTGGAACTAGCCATACAGAACTTAACTGGAGTCAAAGCTATTGCGGATGATATCCTTATCTATGGAGAAGGAGACAGTGATGTAGAAGCCATACGTGATCACAACCAGAAACTTGTCAGCTTTCTGAATAGATGCCGCGAGCATGGAATCAAGTTGAACAAAGACAAGTTTAAACTGCGATTAAAGGAAATGCCATATATTGGACATGTTCTAACCCCCGATGGACTCAAGCCTGACCCTCGCAAAGTACAGGCTATTATTGAATTTGAAACCCCAAAGGATGTTGCGTGTGTGCAGAGGTTCTTAGGACTTGTGAACTATCTGTCCAAGTTCATGGACAAATTGAGTGATATGTGTGAACCAATTCGTTCCCTTGTCCACCGAGAGATAGTTTGGCAATGGACACACGAGCAGGAAGAAGCATTTCGTAAAATTAAAGAGACAATATCGCGAACACCAGTACTACGATACTTTGACTCGAAAGAAGAAACCACACTACAGTGTGACGCATCAAGCACAGGACTTGGCGCATCCCTCTTACAGAAAGGACAACCAGTCGCTTATGCCAGCAGAGCATTGACGCCTACCGAACAACATTATGCGCAGATTGAGAAGGAGCTGTTAGCTGTCGTATTCGGAATGGAGCGATTCAACCAATACACTTACGGCCGCAAAGTACTTGTGGAGAGCGACCACAAACCCCTGGAAATTATACACAAGAAACCATTGGCTTCAGCTCCAAAGCGTCTACAACGTATGTTTTTACGACTGCAGAAATATGACATGGAGATCACGTACAAGCCTGGCGAAGAAATGTATGTGGCAGATGCACTGTCGAGAGCGCATCCCAAGAAACAGACTACAGAACTCTGCACCGAGGAAGTATTCAAAGTATTTGAGGATGTCAACATGGTAGAATACTTACCTACAGTGTATTTCGCAAGCAAGTATGTTAAAGATACAGCAGACCAGTGACAAAACGCATGACTTACTTAAGCAGACTATTCTAGAAGGATGGCCAAAGAACATGGAAAGTGCGCCAGTGGAGATGCATCCATACTTTCATGTGCAAGACGAACTATCCGTCCAGGATGGTATTGTGTACCGTGGAACCCTTTGCGTCATACCGAAAGCATTACGTGCTGAGATTATGGGAAAGCTTCATCAATCACATATTGGAGCTGAAGGATGCCTTCGTAGAGCTCGAGAGTGCGTATACTGGCCAAACATGAACTCCGAGATCAAAGATCTTGTATCAAAGTGTGAAACGTGCCGAACTTATGAGCCATCACAGCAAAAAGAAACTCTCATCTCGCATGAGATTCCAAACCGCCCATGGTCTGTTGTAGGAGTAGATCTCTTCCAATCACCTGTAAGTGATGACCAATACCTCATCTCAGTAGACTACTACAGCAATTTCTTCGAAATTGACAGACTGGAGTCTACCACTTCAGCCACCGTAATCAGCAAGTTAAAACAGCATTTTGCTAGACACGGAATACCTGACAAAGTCATCAGTGATAATGGTCCCCAATTTACCTCCCAGCAGTTTGAAAACTTCAAAGTCAAGTGGGAATTCGACCATAAAACATCTAGTCCGGCATACCCTAAGTCAAATGGAAAAGCGGAAAATGCCGTAAAATCCGCAAAGCAGCTTATGAGAAAAGCAAAGCACAGTGGACAAGACCCATGGCTTGCAGTACTTGACTTCAGAAATACGCCAACACAAGGGATCGGAGAAAGTCCAAGCCAGCGACTAATGAACCGTAGAACAAAAACATTGATGCCACAGAAAGAAACATTGCTATCTCCATGTGGTAAAAAAGATAACATCAAGAAAATCAGGAAGGAAAAGGACAGACAAGCTCGCTATTACAACCGCACAGCAAAAGATTTGCGAGAGTTACATCATGGTGACACAGTGCGCATGAAGCCTACACAACTAAGGGAAAAGGAGTGGAAGAAAGGAACAATCATCGGCAAAGAGGGAATAAGATCGTACAACGTTCAAACACAAGACGGTACCTATAGGAGAAACCGCTCTCACCTGAAGGCCACGTGTGAGAAACCAAATGACTTCAGCATTATTCCTGACTACATAACTCCGAACGAACAGTCAGGTGATAATTCCAGACAGACTGCGCCGTGTGGGAACTGCCCGAGACCTAGTTCAGAAACCACTGAAAGTGTTCGATCTCTACCGGACAAACCGTTAGTCGTTCCGAGCGGTGATGTGCCACTGAAGCCCGATGAACCGCGAACCACTCGTTCTGGACACATTGTTAAGACGCCACAATATTTAGAGAACTATGTGCATGCGGTGTATTATGTATAATGAACTGTTTCAGTATTATTTTCATAGACTAGTCAGTTTGTAATATTGTTGTGTTCGAAATTGCATTATACTTTGATCTCATTCTTGTTTTTAGTCCTTAGGTCCCTGATAGGATTTTTGTTTCTTCCTTCAAAAAAAGGGAGATGTAACAATATTAGAGTATGTCAATTGAATATAGCTAAATATAGATCCTATTCATTCTTATGTACATTAGCGGCCTCAGTAAAATTGTGTATTTTATATATAGCGCCTAAGCGGCCCAGTTTAGACGTTGCCGCCATTGTTGTTAACATGCTATGTGCTTACTTACTTGAATAAACGCTATTACACTCCACATGAAGACTTATACAGATATTGATACAATAACTATACAAATAGTCTGCTTACAGGGGATGATAAAAAATGCATTTCCACTTAATAATCAGTAGTGCCCCCCCCAACCCAACCCAACCCCCCCCCCCCGGAACCACTGATCCGGGGCCATAAGTTCTCCAATTTTTGAAAACGCACTTCTGCTAACATCAATGGTTTATTTTCATACCAAAAAAACAAATTTCAAAGCATTAATTGATTCTCAGTATATAATAGGGCCCCGCCCTAACACCAGAACCTTGAACCAGGGAAGAATTTTGGAAGATCATTACTATGTACATAGTTCATTGAATTAATACTCATGCAGGACCAGCATAGTTTTTTTTTTAAATAATACACGTTCACTATACACGTACATGTACATGTATATTCTACATATCCCCGCCCTAACACAAGAACCCCTGAACCAGGGGCCATGAATTTCAAAATTTCGGTACAGTGTTCAAATGCTCTTTACAATCATGCCAACAGATTGAATGCTTGCATGATGTCGAAGAGTAGAGAAGAATAATTTTAAAAATAGCACTTATTCTTTTCTGGCCTCATCCCTAAGGTCCAAGGGGGACAAAGGCCATGAAATAAACATTTTTTCCCTTCACGATCAGAGATGCTATATGCCAAAACGGGTTGAAATTGGTTGAGTGGTTTTATAGACGAAGCTGAAAATGTAAAAATGTTATGGCACGACGGACGATGGACGCCGACAAAAACAGATAGCAATAGGTCACCTGAATGACCTAATAATAATTAAATCAGACAGTCATAGAAGCTCAATTAAACTTTTCACGCATTCAGTCGCAATTTTGATTTTAAAAAATAAAAAAGTCAGTAACATTAAACCAGTTATGAGAGAATATTCTTATCGAGGTCTGTAACTGGAGGGTTCTTTCCTTAAATTATATTTCAGTTGTAACAATCCCTTCTGGACATATGTACTAGTAATAAAGTAGTATATATATTATCTTACCTTGATGATTTGCTCATTATCTGGATACTCGTGAAGTATACTCTGTAGATCATCGAGAAGGGTGTTTCGAATCATACCATGGTGCTGCATTCCTAAGATGTATGATTTTATGGAACACAAAAATAATTACAGCGAAATATATAAATAATGACATCTATATACCTTCCAGTTCAAACAGTTAACAACAACAGCATGGATTACGCTCTTGTAGCATGAACTATCTAACAATGGTTATAGTGAAGATTTCTTGTGTGTTAGGTAAATGATTCAATTTCTTTTTAATATTACACATATTACCAAAAACATTTTGCTTCGAGTGCCCTGAACAGATAGCCAAACTTACTGAGCTATCTCCGCTACACATGTATAGATGATTTTAAAAGGACAAAGAAGCACCGCATTCACACATTTGGATTTTTTTTTTTTTGGAGGGGGGGGGGAGGATGTCATTTTTCGTGGTCTCTGGGCCTTCTCTCCATTTTTTAAAAAGGTGTATTCGTTTCTTTGAATTAAAATACACACAAATAACGTTTCAAAATCAAGGAGAGAAGACCCAGAGATATGAAAAATTTAGAAAAACGTGTTTTAAAATGTATCATTCTGTACCAAATGTCTGATTTGGCCAATTTTCAAGTTATTTTTTTAGCAAATCAAAGTTTATTTTCGGGAAAATATTTTCCTTTCCTGTTGCACAGGAACCCGATAAATTTAAAAAAAATGTTAAAATTTCATGTGACGTGTCAATAACATTTTCACTTTTCAATTACGCCCAGATTCCTGCCGAATGCCGATCAAAAGCGCCCTCGTTCTTTGTGGTAAAAGTGTGTCAAACTCCATGGTTAATGTAACGAGGTCAAATTTGGTGGTACCGATGAAAAGTTTTGTTACACGGAATATATCTGTGAAATACTAATATTAAAAAAGCCATAGCCCCGCCCATTCAGAAGTTATGGCCAATTGCAATGTTCAAGTTTCTACGGACACACAGACAAACAGTCAGACGGACGGACAGTACAAAAACTATATACATGTACCGAATTATGTCAAAACTGTCTAAAGCTGGAAAGACTGTTGCCAAATGAGATTAAAATATAATTTGATTTGATCTTTCGCCTATCTGGTATCTACATATGTAAAGGGAGAGGGGCATACAGACATTTTATATTAATACATTTTATAGCTTTTTAAACTATAAACCGCTAAAACTTTTACCCTTATAGCCATTTGACTTCACAAAATTGAAAGTGAACATTTAAAATATGAAAATACATGTATAAAGATATGAAACAGCAACTGTGTCTATAAAATTTGGAGATTCTTTTTAAAGTACAAATGAGATTAATTATATAAATGAGTAAAATATCATATCATAAAATAATTTCATTATTAAATGTATTTAAACCAATGCAGATATAATACAGCTTGCCTTTCATAAATTAACATTGGTGAATGCAATCATCATCAAGGCATGACCTTAACCTTAAAACCTATTTACAATCATTCCTTAATTATATGGGTAACTTCAAAATTAACAACTCTTGCAGACAGAGGTATAAATCTATCTCAATATGACTGACAGAGATCATCTTCAAGAAAGTATTTATTACATAATTTTATAGATAACAAATGGACCCTTTTACCGGCAACTGGATGGGACCACCGATGCAACTGGGACGACAGACGGCAAAGTTGTTTTTTTTTTCGCTATGAAAGAGACCAAATTGATATCATTTTTTGACTACTCATATCATTCATATACTTTCCTTTGGTGCTTTCCCATTTTGATCATACATGTCCCATAAACTACCGGTATTTTTCTGTTGAAAATAAAATTATGAAATCTTATGAAAACAACATAAGAAACAGAATAAAGATAAATTTCAATCGTTGTTCAACAAAAATGGTTTATGGTATGATCAAAACTGGAAACCACCAAACTAAAGTAAATGAATATGATAAAAAGTCAAAAATATGATGTTAATTAGGTCTCTGTCAAAGCGAAAAACAAGTTTGCTGTCTGTAGTCCCAGTTGCCGGTAATAGGGTGTGAAATGGAACATACATTCTCATATAAACTTTGAAATCGTCCCACCTCCCCCACCCCACTTCAGCTGCAAACAGGATGACATAAGGAATCAATCTCAGTATCAAAATAATAACTATATTCAACCAATATATTTTGAACTAACGTTAAATTGGAAATTATATCATTTTTTGAAAAAGGTTACATGCACTAGTAGCCTAGTTAGTATCATAGGTATTATTTAAAAAGAAGAAAATCTTCGCTTGGAAGAATGACAGACGGACAGGCAGACTATTTTACCTTCAAGGTTAATATGCAGATTATGTATTTACATACCTGGCACTTCCGATCTTCTTGATGCCATAGTGAGCTTTTGTAATCAAATGCAGGGTTGTGGTACCATTGAAACATCCATTTTTGTCAAACACTTAAATGTAAAAGAAACCTTCATTGATTCATCTAATTGAAATGTACAACTATTTATTAGCTATTATAAAACCCGAATTACTGTTACTTTATCTTTTTGTACATTTACGTGCAGTTTTCTGAGGTTAAGCAACAGAACTCGAAACTTCAGATTATATATATGTATTTTCAGATGATAAAACGAAATTGACTTGTCTTTACGACAAATTCTGCGAAGTTTTTCCCCCGAGGTTGTCGGAAATATTCCTAGAAGGTAGTATACGTATAACGCTAAGGAAAGCTAGATCTCGAGAATACTTTTATGTGTAGATTAGACAATAAATTAAAAAAAAATATGTATCCTGATCTTGACTTATCTGGTATTGCCAAAGTTAATTGCAGAGCGTATCTTTTTGTATGACAAAACGAAATTGTTATAGTAAAGTATATCTTCAGCAGTTTTCCCGACCGTGAAATCGAGCATGCGTATTGAAACAAGAGGCCCATGGGCCACATCGCTCACCTGAGTAACTTGGGTGATGCAGTTCTTTACCAGATTCCCCCTCTTGCTATTGTCCTATCATGCCCCACTACCCCCTTACCTTTTATGATTTTAAAACTTTAGAATCTACACTACCCCAGGATGCTTCCACATAATTTTCAGCTTTCCGGACCCAGTGGTTCTTGAGGAGAAGATTTTTAAAGATTTGTTCTATATATTTCTATGTAAAACTTGGAATTCCCTATTGTGGCCCCACCCTACCCCAAGGGGTCATGATTTTAACAATTTAACATCTACACTACCCAAGGATGCTTCTACATAAGTTTCAGCTTTAATGGCCCAGTGGTTCTTGAGATAAATTTTTTTAAAGATTTGTTCTATATATTTATATGTTAAACTTGGATTCCCTATTGTGGCTCCGCCCTACCCCCGGGGGTCATGATTTAACAATTTAATATCTACATTACCTAAGAATGCTTCCACATAAGTTTCAGCTTTCCTGGCTTAGTGGTTCTTGAGAAGAAGATTTTTAAAGATATGTTCTATATATTTCTATGTAAAACTTTGATTCCCTATTGTGGCCCCGCCCTACCCCCGGGGGTCATGATTGCAACAATTTAATATCTTCACTACACAAGGATGCTTCCACATAAGTTCCAGCTTTCCTGGCCCAGTGGTTCTTGAGAAGAAGATTTATAAAGATTTCTTCTATATATATTTCTATGTAAAATTGGAATCCCTATTGTGGCCCCACCCTACCCCAAGGGGTCATGATTTTAACAATTTAATATCTTCAGTACCCAAGGATGCTTCTACATAAGTTTCAGCTTTCCTGGCCCAGTGGTTCTTGAGAAGAAGATTTTGAAAGATTTGTTCTATATATTTCTCTGTAAAACTTGGATTCCCTATTGTGGCTCCGTCCTACCCCCGGGGGTCATGATTTTAGCAATTTAATATCTACACTACCCAAAGATGCTTCCACATAAGTTTCAGCTTTAATGGCCCAGTGGTTCTTGAGAAGAAGATTTTGAAAGATTTGTTCCATATATTTCTATGTAAAACTTTGATTCCCTATTGTGGCCCCGCCCTACCCCCGGGGGTCCCGATTGCAACAATTTAATATTTTCACTACCCAGGGATGCTTCCACATAAGTTTCAGCTTTCCTGGCCTAGTGGTTCTTGAGAAGAAGATTTATAAAGATTTCTTCTATATATATTTCTATGTAAAACTTGGAATCCCTATTGTGGCCCCACCCTACCCCAAGGGGTCATGATTTTAACAATTTAATATCTTCACTACCCAAGGATGCTTCCACATTAGTTTCAGCTTTCCCGGCCCAGTGGTTCTTGAGAAGAAGATGTTGAAAGATTTGTTCTATACATTTCTATGTAAAACTTTGATTCCCTATTGTGGCCCCGCCCTACCCCCAGGGGTCATGATTTTAACAATTTAATATCTACACTACCCAAAGATGCTTCCACATAAGTTTCAGCTTTAATGGCCCAGTGGTTCTTGAGAAGAAGATTTTGAAAGATTTGTTCTATATATTTCTATGTAAAACTTTGATTCCCTATTGTGGCCCCGCCCTTCCTCCGGGGGTCTCGATTTGAACAATTTAGAATTTACACTATACAAGGATGCTTCTACATAAGTTTCAGCTTTCCTGGCTCAGTGGTTCTTGAGAAGAAGATTTTTAAAGATTTGTTCTATATATTTCTATGTAAAACTTGGATTCCCTATTGTGGGCCCGCCCTATCCCCGGGGGTCATGATTTTAACAATTTAATATCTACACTACCCAAAGATGCTTCCACATAAGTTTCAGATTTAATGGCCCAGTGGTTCTTGAGGAGAAGATTTTTAAAGATTTGTTCTATATATTTCTCTGTAAAACTTGGATTCCCTATTGTGGCCTCGCCCTAGCCCCGGGGGTCATGATTTTAACAATTTAATATCTACACTACCCAAGGATGCTTCCACATAAGTTTCAATTTTCCTGGCCCAGTGGTTCTTGAGAAGAAGATTTTTAAAGATTTGTTCTATATATTTCTATGTAAAACTTGGATTCCCTATTGTGGGCCCGCCCTATCCCCGGGGGTCATGATTTTAACAATTTAATATCTACACTACCCAAAGATGCTTCCACATAAGTTTCAGATTTAATGGCCCAGTGGTTCTTGAGAAGAAGATTTTTTAGTGACCCACCCTATTTTTTTCTTTTCTTGATTGTCTCCCCTTGTAAGGGGACTTGGCTCTTCATTTTAACAATTTAAACTCCCCTTTACCCAAGAATGCTTTGTACCAAGTTTGGTTATAATTGGCCCATTGGTTCTTGAGAAGAAGTCGAAAATGTGAAGAGTTTACAGACGGACGGACAGACGGACAGCTAGACGGACGGACGACGGAAAAAATGTGATCAGAAAAGCTCACTTGAGCCTTCGGCTCAGGTGAGCTAAAAATATTAACTAACGAATTCGCTACCGCTAGAGAACGTCAGCAACAAGAGGCCGATGAGCCACAACGTTCACCTGAGTCACTATGGTTCAGCGGTTCTTCATCAGCGGATTTCTTGACTTACAAGTACTTTATAATTTGAGTGGTATTAATTAATCTATTCTTGAGTGGAGGAGGCATAATTGTTTTGAACATATTTTATTGTATAAACAAAGGGATTGGAAACAAGTTCTTTCAACTTACGACTTCCTCTCCTTGAATATAACTTTATGACATTTCATTAAAATACATGTAGTACATAGAAATATATATACAAAAGAGATACAATGAAATATTTGTTCAGTAATATAACGATTTAAAAACTACAGGATTCGTCTATAAATTCATGCACAGCAGCAAAAATTATGTGTTTGTTTCTACAGGCAAATTTACATCACCACATAATAACAGATTTGTATCAATATTGACTAATTCGTCAAATAAAAATAAGCGATAAAAAAGATTATTCCTAGCGTTTGAATAATTTTTGCAGGCAAGAAAAGAAATGATAAACATCTCCATACTTTCCACATGAACATGAACATGATAAAGGGCTATTGATAATATTTCTTTTATGTGAATCATAGTTAAAGTAATATAGTTGTGTCTAATATGATGATTTATTTAGTTGATGACTTTGTGTATTAGTCAGATGCGTAATCCGGAAATTTTGTCCGGAATTTTTTTAACATACCCTGTTTCACCCTGAACTTACAATATCCACACTTCCTTTTTCTATCAATGCTGATGACCAGCAGACGGTTTAGAAATTCAGAGCTAAAATTGTTTAAAATAATGGTTAAGTAAAGGATAAAGTGTAAGTTATTTTGAAAAATCAGTAATATTAAACGCTTTAGAATACATTTGAAGCCTGGAACGCTTTCGATGGCTTCATATTTTTTGGATGTTCGGAGATTATTTGGAGACAAAGTGCAGCATGCTCTAAAGGTTAATGCATGTGTCGGAACTAACATTATTCAGTTGTGTATTCATACCTATCTTGAAATAACAAACTTAATTTTTAAACAAACTGTGTAAGCATGTCGCTTATAAGGACAAGATGGAGAGAGAGAGAATATAAGACATGTCGGAGAAGAGGCCCAGTCTAAGTTTGATCCGGAGGAATAAATCTGCGGCGGAAATAGGAAATAGGCGCCGGAATGGCGACTTAAAATTCCAGCCAATCAACAGGTACAAATAATATTCTGTCAAAGGACGGGGCACCGATAAATTCAATTAACATTGGGCCATTATGTAAACAAGACGTTCAGATATAGAATCGTTGAAGAAAAATATTTTGAATTGTTGCTATAGTACTAAAATATTCAAATATCTAAGACTCATCCAGTTAGCGGTTTTTCTATTTTAGGTAATGATCGCCAAATGCTAAGCAAACCTAAGATTACACTAAAAAATAAAAATCAAAGTACTGAGACAGTACGGGGTCAAAATCAACTTCCTGCCAGGTTTTATTTTATGACATCAAGTTTTTTATTTAACTTGAAGTGGAAATTTCAAAAAAATGAATTAATAAATTAATTACTTAAAAATAATAATAAAAAATAATAATAAATAAAAAATTGTCAAGAAACCTTTTTGAGAGTCAGATTTTAACAGGTTCAAATCAATACATTTCAGGAAGTAAACAATGTGTCTATACATGTAATGCTATAGGAGGGTTGTTTGTTTACTTGTGTGATTTACAATTAATATATTTTTAGTTTGAAGTTGGTTGGGGTTTTTTTTCAAAATGCTTCATGAATTTGAGTAAAATGTGCATATCACTTTCTTCGGTTTGATCCAAAATGTTTGTATATTTTGATCAGAACAATTTCTGCAATATTTCATCTAGCGAAAGTTTGATTCATGTGTTCTTGGCAGAGCTTCCGTTTTGAAGCCTTGACTGACAGTAAACTAGAGAGGTAAGTAACATCGTCTAAAAATCACAACAATTAAAAGGAAAAGATGCATGTATACCCCCTTTTTCATACATTTAAACATCAGTTACTAAAATGCATGCAAGATGA